CACCACAGTCATCTGAGCAAGTGACGAGGGTGGCTCCAGTGCCAGTGGTGCCATGGACATGGAGAGAAGTGGGCAGAGCTGAGGACAGTCTAATGGGCACCAGTGAGGACAGGATGGCCGCGCAGCTCCTGGCATGCGTGTTGGAGCTGCGGGGAGCACCAGGCCACAAGGGAGGAAGACCAGGTTTGGAGCCAGGGTCTTGAGCCAGGTTTGGGGTGCTGCTGACACGGCGCCGTCGAGGCCTGCAGAGTCAGGTCAGGAGGCAGGGGTCACGACACCGGGTCCTGGGGCGCTGCTATGAGGGCTGGAAACACACTTTGCAGCATCCGCTTCTGGGTGGCACATGACACCATACGTGAGGGTGAGGTCACCCAGGATCAGTAACGGATGGAGGCCAGCAGGCTTTAGGTCCCCTGGACCTCAACGAGTAGGGCAAGCCTGCAAAGGACACAGCAGAGATGTCCACAGGAACAGGCGTAAGCCCGAGGAGGCTGGGCTGGCGCAGCCACGGGCAGGGAGTGTTTCAAGCCAGCGGAGCAGCGATGGCAGCGAGTGATGCCGAGGGGTCGGCTGAGACGTGGACTGAAGAGGAGGCGTCAGAGGCCGTCGGTGACCTGGCGAGGCCTGCTCCGGCGCAGAGATTTGGCCAATGGGATTCCAGGATCTGAGAAGTGAGTGGGAGGGGGGAAGAGGAGACGGGACCCACATAGAAGTCACTGTGCCTCTGCTGCCTCCTGCTCTCTGCAGAGCCTTAGTGGCACCGGAGGTCCCAGGGAGACACCCGGCCCCGCAGCACGTGGAGCTGCAGCGCCTGCTCCCTCCTCGGCACTCGCCCGCCCTGGGCTCATCTGCTCTCTCCCTGCTCATTACCTTGGCACATCCAAGCCCACCGGGTCCAGTTGGGGTTGGGCAGCAGAAGTCTGGGGAGCAAGGGATTCACCCAGAAATTTATCTGTGTTCGTTTGGACTGTGAGTTTGGAGGACGAGGTCTGGGGCGTGAGGGCTATGGGCTGCCCTTTACCGCCCTCTGCCCGCTCCCCTGTCCAAGCTCCTGGACAGTGCCACTTTGGAATGGCCCGCGGCCCCTGACGCAGGGTGGGACCTGCAGGAGTTAGGAGCCTCTGCGTCCACTTGGGGTTCGCATTCTTCGTGGGCTCATTGGGAGCTGGCTGCAAGCAGACCTTCAGTGTTTTCCCCCTTGTGTATGCTGGGTCAGGTCCCCCCTCTGGCCATGGGTCACTGGCTTTTGCGCAGTATGTCCCCATTTGGTCTTGCCTTGTTAGACTCAGCTCAGTGTGCCAGTGTGGCCAGGCCCTCGGAGACCTCCATTCCCATAGGATTCTGTCGGTTTAACAGGCTTCCTTGTAAAGCAGTCGGAGCGAAGACCCTCCAGGCTTTGGCTAGAGGCAGAGTCTCCTGGGAGTGTGACCTCGGTGAGCAGCCTCAGGGGTCGTCCGGTCGTCTCTCGTGAAGGGCTCAGGGACTGGAGACCAGGACGGCTCTTTCAGGCTCTGGAGCCTTGGCAATGCCTGTGGCGCTGGTTCCTCTCTGCTTTTTCACAGAGTGTCGTTTGGAGGGTGCCACGGAGCGGGAGGGCCAGGAGGCCGGCATGCAGGTGAGGCGTGAGAGCCACGAAGGACAGACTGCTTGGCCCAGGGAGGGTTGTGGGCCGGGCGCCGGGGCTGCTGGAGGAGTGTGCTTGGAGTCCCAGGTCCTCAGACTCCAAAGGCCCTACCTCACACCAGTGCGGCCCCCAGCCCTGACCCCCGATTGATCCCTACTCCTGCAGGCTTCAGCTCGCGAGCCGCCCAGGGCTCCGCTCCACAGCGTCAGAGTGGTCACACGCCCCGCTTCCTGCCCTGCCGCGTGGCCCAGGCCCTGCTCCCTGGCTGTCGGGCGAGGTGGTAATGCTCCTTCCTCCTGCTCCGCGACGAGGCTCAGACGAGGTGATGCGTGCGGAGTGGCAAGGGTGGTGTCTGGCACAGAGAGAGCCAAATGTGTTTTCTCATCAGCCCGTAGATCTTGACAGCCTACCAGGGGCCAGGCACCCTTGTGGGCGCCGAAGACAGCAGGGGACAAGCAGGGAACCTCTGCTCCCTCTGGTTCCATTTACTTGACCAGGAGCTGCCCAACGTGGGGCGGGCTGGAAGCTGTCGGAGGACAGAGAGCAGCGGGCTCCCAGCCCTGTTCCCTGACGGGGCCTTCCCAAAGCCTGGGCAGGCAGACAGAGGATGCGGAGGTCAGGGGTCCCAGGGCTTGACAGGCCTGAGCAGGTCACCACTCTGCCGTCATGATCACGCCAGGGGACCCTCTGCACACCTCAGTTCCCTCCTCTTCCTCTGGGGCAAGGATGCCGTCTCGTGGCTGCTGTGGGGACTGTGCACTGGTTGTTTGCTCCACAGCAGGCACTGATTGCAGGGAACACAGCAAAGGCTCTGCCGCCACGGAGCTGACACACTGGCGAGACGGTGGTGGTGGTGACACACGCCATGAGGAGCAGCGAGGCAGGAGCGGGGCAGAGCAAGAGGGAGCACGGAGTGTCAGGGGGCCTCCAGCAGGGCGACGCTGGGGAGGAGGCTTGAAAGAAGGGAGGGAATAAGAAATGAGGACATTTGGGAACAAAGCCTTCCAGGCAGAGGGACCAGGCAGTGCGAAGGCCCTGGGGCGCACGAGCGGGCTGGGCACAGTTTCGAAGACCTTCAGGGAGGCCCGTGAATGGGGGAGTAAGCCGTGAGAGAGGGAGCAGCGCGGCAGAGGCAGCCGGGGCCCTCTGTCGGCCGAGGGGGGCCCTGGGTGTTGTACCAGTGAGGTGGGAGGACTCGGAAGCTGCTCTCCCCTGAGGGTCTGTCCCGATTC